AAACAACACATTGCATTTGCTGCAAAAGACCTCTTTAAAGCATGAAAAAGTGAGGCTGCTACTTTGCGGACTAAGAAGCACCTGATCAAAAGAGCTCTGGTGGCGTAGTGGATAAGGCACTTGACTGCTACCAGGAAGGTCAGTGGTTCACACCCACCAGCTGCTCTATGGAAGGAAGATAGGCTGATCAACTTCTGTAAAGATTTACAGGTTCGGAAACCCAATGGAGGTCACTATGAGTTGGAAACGACTCAGTGGCAGGGAGTCTGGTTTTGGTTTTCATATGATGTGAAAGCTGGACAAAGAATAAGGAAAACTGAAGAAGAATTGATGCCTTTGAACTATTGTGTTGGCAAAGGTTACCGAATATACCATGGACTGCAAGAAGAACAAACAAGTCTATCTTGGAAGAAGTACAGCCAGAATGCTCTTTAGATGTGAGGATGGCAAGACTTCATCTTACGTACTTTGGTCATGTTATCAGAAGGGACCAGTCCCTGGAGAAGGAAAGACCCTCAACAAGATGGAATGACACAGTGGCTGCAACAATCAGCTCAAACATAGCAATGATTGTGAGAATGGTGTAGGAACAATGTATTTTTCTGCTGTACACAGGGTTGTTATGAGTTGGAACCAACTCGATGGTACCTGACAACAACAAAACTATAACTAACATTAGTATCTTCTGTGAGTCCTGTCAGTTACTCCAGTGAGTTAACAAACCCAAGGATGGTATCCTATTAACTTGTAAAGTCTGACCTAACCCTGGATGGCTAAGGATAGAGAGAGAGTGTGTGTTGTGTGGGCAACTGACAACAGAAATGATGGAGAAGTGGGAAAGTGGGGATGTGACAGACTTCTGCCTTCTAGGAATTGGCTTTAGCCTGATTCTCATTCACAAAGTTATCATTGTCATCATAACTACTTAACATACACAATACATATTTTATTAACATACATATTAATTTATTAATTTTGCATTCTTTAATGTAACTTTGTAGAAGAAATCTGTTGTCTGTGTTTCATCTTACTACCATGTATATAAATATTTAAAAAGAAAGGGGAAAACCCTTTCTTTCAGAGCAGTTGTCCAATTTTTCATTTAGAGAACATGTAATTTAAGAATATCTGAAGCTATTTCTCCCTTAGAGACTATAATTCTCAGAGAAATTCTCAGTTTAGCCAGAATGACAGCAGCCCTGCGAACCATGTCCCCTTCTGATGTGCAGCTGCAGCCAGCGAGGGCCAAGCCACTCTCCGAGAACCTTAAGAAAGCAATGTCAAGATTTTATGGCTCTTAATACTGAGTAAGATCAACTAAAGATTATATAACCAGTTTGTTATATCTTGTGGGGAACATGAGATGAATACTGCTACAGGATAAATATGAAGGATATTAGTTAAAAATTCTTTGTAACTGCTGAAATAGGACATCTTAATCATAGTATTTTGCTCATGCAAACATTTTAATTTTTAAAACAACCACTTGAGTAAGCCAGATACAAGTTCACTGAAACGAGGTTCCAACAGTCCTATTATAAGGAGCTAAGTGGATCTTCTTACTTTTCCTCCATACCAAGGGGGAAGAAAAGATAATATGTTTGCTCTTATATGACCCATGAGCCAAGTGAATAGCAGATCAAGAGAGAGACATCTGCTCACCTGAGGCACTACACAAAGAATGCCTATTCAAATGGAACCATGGGTTACAGCAGATTTCTCCCTTTCTATCACAAATAACATCAAGTATCAAAATATGTCTAATACCAAGTTAAAAATATAATGTATCTTTGAAAAAAAATGGCCAAAAGCCCCCCGAAATTAAATTAATTGTGTATGTATTGTGTGTGTGTGAGCATGCGCAGTCTAATAGAAACAGCATCCAGTTGGAAGGCATTTATATTTTTAGGAGCTGCCCTCTGGCAGAAGACGCAGGATACACATCTTTCCAAGCACCATCCACCAAACTGAGAAATTGTAGTACCAAGTTAAGACTGCCAGAAACAAACCTTTACCTGAATTGCCCTGACAAGAAGAATCTTATTCTGTTGTGACCTGAGAAAGTTCCTATTATTTTCCAATTTATACATGTAGCTGAAAAAACAAAAAGGTTTTATTCCCCCCTTCAAAATAAATTAATCCTGATACAATTACTATAACATGGAAAACCTCTGGTGGCTCATTTACATTAGGCAATCTTGTTTACAATAAAGTTTCAGCACAAGAAGAAGGGGTAGTCCTTTATTTGGGTAGGGAGTATGGAGGAGGTAATAGATTTTGACCCATATACAGTAATATTTGCAGAATTCTCCTCCTTCTTCCTGGAGGCACCGTGGAGCAGGGTTTTGAACCAGTTTGAACCAGTTGAATTATGGCCAACACAGTGAAATGGGAACAGACTTGAATTTGTTAAATGTGAGTGTACCAGATCAATAACCAGAACAAGAAAAATTACAGGTCGAAGCCCTGGAATGGGAGACTCAGAAGAGGCAGTTGGGCCCTTTTAGGAGCCTGATACAAAAGACTGGATAATTGCCAGGACTATGGAGAGCAACACACATTCAAAACGATGCAGTCTGCTGCCATCTCCGAGTCGGGCACCATTGTTTCCAACTTTACCTAACAAGAGATTTGGTTGCTGTGCAACAAGCACAGCACCCTTGTTTTCTAAGAGGGAGATTAAGTTTCTAGAAGGGTGTTGGCCTGTAATTTTTCCCATTCCAGTTATCATTCCAGTACACCACTTATTACAAATTCGGGTCTGATCTGTTTTTGCTGCATTGACCGTGACGGAACCAGGAAGAACCTGTTCAAAGCCCTACCACAGAGGCATTCCCCTATTGTATAGCTGGATGGAGCTGATTTGTCCTTGGTCATATACAAATAGTTGACAAAGGAACTGGTGCTAACACTATAAACCAATCTAACCACTAATTGTAATGAATCAGATTTAACAGAAATCATAAAGTGCAATATAGAGATAGTTCTAATTCCATGGGTATTTTAGGTTTTATTTCTTGTGTATTATTTTAGTTGATGTCAAATGTGGAGAGGGAGGAAACAAACTGTGCTTGTTGGCAAAAGCTCATCCAGGCCAAACTGAGGTGAGCAGGTACAGCAGTACCACCTCACTGCATGCGGCAGCCCTAGTGGGCACCTAAGGCAACAGTTAGTAACACTAACAAATGTCAATCAGAAAGAGGAAGCAAGAAAGGAAAAAAGCAAACTTTGTTACCTTTGGCAGAATAACTGTGGCTGAATGATTTTTGAAGGTGCATCAATGCTCTAAGATTGGGGGTGTATAGTAGATACAGATAGGAGACTCACAGCTAAAGAGAAGAACTGCTCAGTTCCTCTTTTCCCCTCTGAACCCTGAGGGATTCGATCTTTAATTCACTGGAGGAGTGGACAGGCAACTATTATGTGAGCACGTACTAGTGCCTGGCATTCACAACCTTACCTCACAAGATGGCCCAGGAATCACCAGGATCCACATGGAGGCTCCTTCTGGGCTGGGGGGAAAATGCTTTGCTCTTACCACTGCCGACACCCACACTGCTGCAGACTCTGAGCCACAGCAAGGCTCAGAAGATCAAGGGACCAGTCACAGCAGCCTTTTTAACTTTGGGAAAACCCAATGCTCACTTCACTCAAATGTCGCAAAGTGGTGCCATGACCCTTTAGCTCTTGGCTCACCAATTCAAAGAGCCACATCACATACAGCCCTGAATCTGCCCACTGCATGATTCTGTGTCTAGTTCCTTTCCAGGTCCCCCAAGTGGAAGACAGTTCTGGCAGGGAGTCTGGGCAAGATTACTATAATATTTAGCCTTTGTCCTTCTTTTTCTACATCTTACTGTAGAATAAGACACATAGGTCTCTGAGATGGAGTACTTCAGTTGTATGCTGGACTTGAGGACTGCACTCAAAAGATACCTACCTGCAAGGCCTCAAGTCTGCTCTGTCTAGCTCAGGAATCACCATTTCAAAGATGAAGAAACTGAGGTTCAAAGAAACATAAGAAAGGCCCTTCCTCAAATAGTGGAAGCCAAGCCCTCAGCTTAGTAAATTTACTGAGTATTTAACTAAATGGGAAATGGCAGAATCATACAGACAGAGTAGGTTTCTTCCCCTTAACTATGGGTGTAGATTTATACAATCCCACTTGTCTTGGGCTTCAGTTTTCTCATCCATAAATAGGGTCTGAATGGTGATTTCTAATGTGCCTTCCAGCTCTGAAACTGTCATGGGGAATGAGGAAGTAGTTCTATGTGGGTGGGTGGGTGTAAATACACACACACACACACATCATATGCTACAATTAAACACAGTTTCTAACTACATATCATCCAAAAACCCTATTTTCCTAATCCCAAACCAGGGCTACACACGACCCCTCTGGGCAGCCTGAGAATTCTGGGCGTGTGGTCAGTACCACTCTGGTTTCTCTCCAAATACTAAGTGTACAGAGTAAGAAGACTAGAAGCCACATACTTCACATGAAATTAAGTCACTAAGTTCGCTGGAGGACACGACATGCCTGAGGGAGGCCTGGGCTGTGGAGGGCAGAACGCACCGCAGAAAGCACAAATTAGGAGACAAACTGTGGCTGCCCCAATCTGGTGTCCCGCTGCCAAATACCCGAGTGGGCAGTGTAAGTCCATGCTTGAAACAAGCGTGGCTCAACAACCACGACTGTGGACAGTAACCTGCACTCCCGGATTTACACATCCTGCGTGTGCAGCTCTGACAGAATGCGGTGCGGAGCGTGCGGCGGGGACTTGACCACTCTTGCTAAGGCACGTGGTACCGCCCAGAGCCGGATTAAAGCATGCTGGCCGCTGAGCCCTCCCTGTCCCCGCGGCCGCCCCGCCTCACCGCCACCCCCCGCCAACATCCCGGCGCTAGGACCCCGCGCGCCTCTCACACTTCCTCCCGCCAGGGTCGGCGCTGCCGGCACGGCGCCCCAGTCTCCCGCCCGCTCCGCCCAACCGCCCTACCTGGCGAAGCAGTACTCGCAGTGGTTGCCCCGCTCGTTAACCGTGAGCACGTAGGCGTAGGCCGGGCAGGAGAAAAGCAAGTCTCCCACCTGGAAGGGCTGCAGGGCCCGCAGTCCCCGGCCCTTGCCCGGGCTACAGAACCTCTCCAGGCCGCCATCGCCGTCTTCCCACATGGTGGCACCGAGGCGGGAGGGTGGCGCGCGGGTTGGGCTGGCGCGGAGGGGCGCTCGGCTCTAGCTGTGCCAGGAGCTGCGGCTCCCCGCGAGCTGTTATTGGAGAAGCGTCACTGAGCTGCGGGGGGCGGGGTGGGAAGCCGTTTGGCAGGCGCGGCGGCCCGCTCCCCGGAAGGGACAGCGGCCCCGCCCGGTCCTCGCGCGCCCCCGGGGGAGGGGGTGGCCGTTGACCTGGCGCCCCTCCCCCGTCCTTGGGACCCTCCGCCACCTCCCCGCGCTCCTCTGTGTCGGTTTCCGGTGTGACAGCAACAAAGAGCTGCAGTCCTGCGGCTCCTGGAAGGAGGGCGTGGAGTCTGCAGCTCGTGATGTCTCCACGGAAGGAGCGGGACGCTGTCCCCTCACCAGTGGGCAGACTGGGGCCGCCTAGGAGGGCAGGTATCCGAGGCCTCCCTGGGACAATCTGGATGTCCTGCCCTACGTAAATTGAGGGGACGAAGATGTCTCTTAAGCCTACGTTAAGTCCTTATAAAAAAACCCTGGGGTGATTCATGAACATAGAAGAGAAACTGGGGAATGGGCAACCACGTAGAAAAGTTTGATGTGCTGAAGAGTTAATAGGTTCTCAGTTCCCAAAGGAGCCCTCGTGGCGCAGTGGTTGAGCGCTCGACTGCTCACTGCTATGTGGCGATTCAAATCCACTGTAACGATTTGTAGCCTTGGAAACCCTACTGGCAATTCTACCCTGCCTTATAGGGTCCCAAGACTCAGAAAGGACTCCACCGCAGTGGGTTGGGTTGAGTTTATTCCCAAGGGTGTGCTGGTGAGACTTTAAACCTTCAGGGGATTCTCTGAAGTGAACTGCCCCTCAGTGGCAGTCCATTTACGTAGACAGAAGTAGAATGAATGTATTGGTCACCTGAGTTCTCTTGAGTCTGAGCACTACTGTGCAGCGTCACTAGAGGGGTGGTGTGGACCACACTGGGTTACACTGTCAGAAGGAGGTGACACCAAATGACTGTCTGTAAAATTTTTGTGCAGTGTTTCAGTCGAAATTTATTATTTGTTATAAAACTATCCCTGTAATTGGTTATAAAAAAAGCTTTTTTGTAAGCCCAGCTTATATGTACAGGCATACCTCGTTTTATTATGCTTCACAGATACAACTCTACATGAAGCAAGTCTGTCAGCATAATTTTTCCAACAGCATGCACTCATTTTGTATCTCAGTGTCATATTTTGGTAATCTCACATATTTCAAACTTTTTCATAATACTATTTCACACTTAATAGCCTACCAAACCCCAAAATACAAACCCATTGCCTAGCTGATTCCAACTCATAGTGGCCCTATAGGACAGAATAGAACTACCCTCATAGGGTTTCCAAGGCTATAAATCTTTATGGAAGCACACTGCCACATCTTTCTTCCGATGACAGTTTTGCACCTCCAACCTTTTGGTTAGCAGTAGAGTGCTTTAACTACTGTGTCACCAGGGGTCCTCTTAATAGACCATAGTGTAACCATAACTTAATATGCACTGGGAAACCAAAAAATTCACATAACTCACTTTATTGAGAGATATTTGCTTTGCGTCAGAACTAAATGTGCAATATCTCTGAGGTATGCCTATATCAATAGGCTAAAACCAACATGATGTACTTTTTGAAACTTCTAATGTGCTTAGGTCAGAACAGTCATTAGTAGTGCCTGAGGCATTTGACTTCTAACCAGAAGGCTGGTGGTTCAAACCCACCAGCTACTCCTCAGAAGGAAGATGGGGCAATCTACTTCCATAGTGATACTGTCTCGGAAACCCAAGGAGGGATTGCTGTGACTCAGATCTGAGTTAATGGCAGTGAGTTTGGTCTGTTTTTTTTTTTTTTACAATGACTTCAGCTCACGTGGTTTTTCTTTGCTGCTTGTGTTTTTATAGTCTCTGAGAGTGTCAAATTTTCTGGTGTTTTAGCTACAGTATTATAATTATTATTTGTGAACCTATGTCAATTAACTTTTTCGAGAATGAGATAGTGATTAAATGAACAGAAGGAGAAAAATCAAAGAAGGCTTCCACTCACTTACTAATAATGCACCGAATGTAATTCAATGTAGAAAGAGTTTACAAAACAATATGCTTGTTAGTATTTGTATAATCTAAGAAATACTAGATTTAAGCAGTTTATAGCTGTATTTATCTTATATTATGCTATGGTTAAAATGGATAATAAAGGATTTTGTATAGTCTAATACAGTGGGAGGTCCATGGGGGACTGACACTGTGAGTTACCACGTTGGTTTAACACTAACCCTAGTGATCCCACTGGTACTATGGATGCTCCAGAGAAAGCAGGAATCAACCTTGCCATTAGGATTTTTAGACTCCTGTTGGAGGCCATTGTTATCTGATGGCCAGAACACTGCTAGAATTTGCAGTGGTTTTGGTTTGCTTGACCACTCACTCATTTTAGAAAAGTCAATTACATTATGAGTTACTCAGAGGATTAAAGAGTTAAATACACATAAAGCCTATAGAACAAAGTCTGTTGTTGTTGTTATGCCGTCGAGTCAGACCCGACTCATAGTGATCCCTCCTTGGGTTTCCGAGGCAGTATCACTACGGAAGTAGATTGCCCCATCTTCCTTCCGAGGAGTGGCTGGTGGATTTGAACCGCCAGCCTTCTGGTTAGCAGTCAAGTGCCTTAGCCACTATGCTACCAGAGCTCCCAGAACAAAGTTTAGGCATAGTCATATAACCATATGTGCTATTATTTGTATGGGATGGAGAAGATAATCTGTGTTCCACATAGGATTGTGTGAAGGCTGAAGTTTATGTGAATGCTGTGAAGACTATAAACATGTGAAGAGATAGTTTAGCAGAAAACATTAATACTTAAATTAAGATTTTACTCATAGTTTAAGATCATACTTTGACTAGTTTAGCCAAGGCAGAGATGAATGTGGTAAGACTAGTGGAAGTTTTGGCATTTCAATAAAATAGTGATATTAATGACAAAAGGAATAAGCCTCTAGCCCTCCTGCATGGAAAGGGCATCATGGATACTATTTCATTTATACATTTTAAGAAGTATTAAATAATGTGGAATCTGCAAAATGCCACACAACATGGATGAACTTGGAGGACATTATGCTGAGTGAAATAAGTCAATCACAGACAAATATTGTATTAGTCCATTATTGTAAAAGGTCAAGGAAAGGTTTATCTATGGAAGGAAATTTTCTTTGTTGGTTACCAGGGGTGGGAGGGGAGGGGAGGGAACACTGTTAGATAGAGATAAGTATTGATTTGGGTAAAGAGAAGGGCAATATACCAAATATGAGTGATCAACATGGTGGCATTGAGGAAGAGGAAGGCACGGAGAGGTACATGGGAGGTGCAGACAACAAAGATGAACACTTTTGCACATATGGTACTGAGTTGTCAGTGAAGGCAAACATCCATATATGGGTGGATAGATGGGTAGACAGGCTGAAATATTATGTATGTCTATGCAGGGGAGAATGTGCCCAAGACCATGTATAGGGTTGGCAGGCAATGGCTCTACAAGTGTATTTGTATGTTCTATAAGAATTCCTAGGTTTATACTAGAGCTGACAAGGGACAAGGTTGTAGTCACTTCTTGGCCACAGTTAGCTACCCAGAGGGAATGAATAGTTGGACCTGTAGGCTCGGGACCATAGTCGCAGAGGACATCAAGCTCAATTGGCATAACATAATACACAAAAACATTGTTCCACATCCTACTTTGGCAGGTAGTGGCTGGGATCTTAAAAGCTCGCAAACGGCCATCTAGATACAACGATGAGTCTCTCCTCCTCTAAAGCAAAGAAGAATTAAGAAAAACAAAGACACATGGGAGCAATTAGTCCAAGCAACTGGTACACCATGCGATTCTCAGCCTATACAACTATGAGACCAGAAGAACTAGATGGTGCCTGGTTACCACTGTCAAAGGCTCAGATGGGGATCTATGTAGGAGATCCTGGATAGAGAGGGAGAACAATGTGGAAAAAACTCAGAATCATTATTAAAAAAAAAAAGGGAGTGGGGTCAGGTTTGCTGGTCTGATAGAGCCTGCCCCTAGCTGCCCTTCAGGTCTGGAATTGAACCCACTCCTGTGGCTTCCAGCCAAACAAAAGACAGGCATATGTGCTGAACATTTACAGTAGGTAGATACATTCCTTGGAGAGATCAATCGTGGGAGACTAGAAGGGCTGTGTATGCACAGGGAAACAGCTCACGGGGCAGGAGTGCATGGGAGGGAAGGACACAGGAACGAGGTAACGATGGGGAGGAAGTGGGAGAGGAGCTGTTGCATTGTGGGAAATTGCAGTCAATGTCCTGAGACAAAATGTATGTAAACTACTGTGTGGTGAATTTTCTCTGTAAACTTTCACCCAAGTCACAATAAAAATTTAAGAAAAAAAAAGTATTGACCAAGCATCTACTATGTGCCAGCCACTGGGATGGAAAGATAGAAAAAAGGTAGCCCAGAGTCCTTACATTGGAGTTCATAGTCTAATAAAGTTTGTTACTGAGTATCATGTGCCAGACACTATGCTAAACGCATTAAACACATTATCTCAGTTAATCTTACAAGAACCCATTGAGTTAGGTGTTATTGGTCTAATTTTCAACATTAGGAAATTTAAGATTGAGAATAATCTCCAAGGCCATAGAGTAAATTGCAGAATTTGGTCTCAGACCAAAGTGAGTCTGGATTTGAGGCCCATGCTCCTAACCACAATGTCACTGCAAGCAAATACAGTTCAGTGGGTTAAGTGTAAGGGTCCCTGGGTGGCATAAGTGGTTCATATTGTATTACTAACCTGGAACTTGGTGGTTCAAATCTACCCAGTGGCATCACAGAAGAGAGAACTGGCAGTCTGCTTCCATAAACCAAGAAAACCTTATGGAGCAGCTCTCCTGAGTAACACATTTTCTCTTCATGAATTAGAGTTGACTCAATAGTAACAGGTTTGGTTCTTTTGGTTTGGGTTAAGTG